TCCTATGTGGAGGCATGAAGCTTGACTCCACTTGTGCAGTTCATCTATTACCTCACCTCTCCTTCCTCCAATCATCTATCTCCACACTGCAGACCACCTTGCCATCCTACCCCATGAATATCCGAGTCCCCATTTTTGAGGAAGTGGATTTGAGACTCATTCTCCCACTTCCTCACTTGGCTGACTTGTGATTAAAACCCTTTCTCTGCTGCAAACTCGTCGTCTCTGTGATTTGCTTTCTGGGTGACAGGCAAAAACAAACCTGGTTCGGCAACGTTTTCTCTCATTCAGTGGCATGTCATTTCACTTTCCTGGTAAGAGTAAGTTAAAGCAACACAAAATTCTACTTGGTTTCAGTTGTCTTTTTCTTGATTGAACATTCAACTGGTTACTGTAAACTTTGGACTGTTTTCCAGGGTCCAGGTAGTTTGTTCTGACAGTATTCATCATAATTTTTTGTATTTCTTTGGAGGAATAGCCTCTTGGAGTTACCTCATTTACTATTTTCACTCTTAAAAATAATCTTTGATAGAGTTTTTGCTATCTTAGTAACTTTTACAAAGAACCAATTTGGGATTTTGTTAATCTTATCGTATTCATGTCTTGTCTATTTCATTTATTTCTTCTTTTATCTTTATTATTTCCCTGTTTGTGCCTTTGGATTTGCTCTGCTGCTTTACACTCCTGTCCCCAGCAGTTTCAATCAAATGCTTAACTTCATTTTTTTCTCTTCTCTCTCTCTTTTAATGAGGTATTACTTACATACAGTAATGTGAAGCAATCTTAAGTATAACTGAAGAAATTGTTACATATGTGTACACCTATCCAACCATTATACAGATAAGAATGTGGAACAATGACAGCATATCAAAAGGCTCCCAATTAGCTCCAAATCAAAACTCCCTCAAAGGTAACCATTATTTGGAATTCTAAAAATATAAAATAGTTTTGCCTGTCTTTGAGGTTGAAATAAATGGAATCATACAGTACATGCTTCTTTGTGTGTCTGGCTTCTTTTACTAAACACCATTCTGGGAGATGTGTCTATGTGGTTGTGTGTAATGGTAGTTCCTTCTTTTTAAATTACTCAATAGTATTCTGCTGCATGACTGTCCATGGAAATTTATATTGTTTCCACTTTTGGATATGATGAATAAAGCTGTAATAAAAAATCCTTGTACCTATCTTGCAGTAAATATAAACACCTGTCTCTGTTTGGTATGTAATCAGGAGTGAAACTACTGGGTTGTAGGAGGGAAGGCGTATGTTTAGGTTAGTTTTCAAAAACGCTTTCAAATGGACTTTTTGAATTAATTGTACCAATTTATGCTCCCATCAGGAATGTAATTGCCCTACATCCTCAATCATTTTATCTGTTTTTGTAAAGGTTAGTGGTATTTCACTGTGTTTTGAATTTATATACTCGGGGGGCTAATTATGGTTAGTGCAACTTTTTATGTTCTTGTTAGCTATTTGTATTTCCTATATTATAAGTGCTTGTTCTATTTCTCATTTTAAAAACTGGAATTTTCTTACTTTTATTAATTTGTAGCAGTACCTTATATATTCTGGGTATCAAGTCTATAACTTACCATCAAGTTATGAAAATAATAATGTGTATAAAAAGAGATGAATAATAAACAAAATTTGGTTAAAATGTTAATAATTGGAGACTCTATTATGTAGTATACTTCTTATATAATAATGTTAAAATTATGATTATATAATAATACAATATAATTATTATTATATTATACATCATATTCACATTCTGTAAATAATAAAACTCCTCAAAATCATACAGAGATCATAGACCTGGGTTACAACCTAGAAGCCAGAGACCAAATACTTAATTACAATAATACGACACATCCCAAAAGAGAAGATATGTAAGAAGACATGGTGATGAGGCCCACAAACAAAGATATGAGTGCTAACTGTATGCTATTTTCTGTTCTTCTTATAACCATTTGTGAATCTTCTGAGAAGAAATGCAGCTCAGGATCCACCCTAATAATTCAGAATTCTCCTGAGCACTTCAGCCACTCCAGAGACTGCTCCTAGTATCCCTCTGCTCACCTCATTTAAGTGGAACTATTGTTGTATAATATGCCCTGAAGTCAGTGCTTACACCAGTGGATGGAGCAGGAGGACATGGGAGATGTGGGGATTCTCCTTCCTGCCTTGTCCTTGATCTTGACTTCAGAGATTGTGCTGAGTCCTTTGACTGTATGACAAGATGCTCTCAGTCTTGCAATCTCTGCTCTGCCTATTCTGCAGCCAATACACCTGCAGCAGTTTCCCCTTCAACAGTGAGAATTCTTTACTGGTTTTGACGTGCTAATTTGATCTTTTTTCTCCACCAGATGAGAAAACATTGGCAATATTTTTAGAGGAAAAGAAACAGAGGGCAGGAGGTGAACAAAAGGAATAATCTGATATATATTGGGAGTGAATAGGTTTCAATTTCTTCATAGATTTGGTTTTAAAATTCAACTAATTTTGCTCAAACAATCTGATTCTTAGGGTTAACTTTTCTGCAGTAGATCTAGCCAAGGATTTTTCCACAGTGGATTTACCTTATCAAACCACAATTACAGTGTCAAAATCTCTGTGAAGAAGAATCATGGCGCTCACCTGATGGAGACATAAGCAAAACTTCCGTGGAGTCAATATTGATCCTTGGAGTGGGGATTCTTATGTCTTTGTTGAGCTGCGTTTGGAAGACAGTAAGTGGGTATGGAGGGTAGGCAATAGGTGATTTTGAGCATGAAATATCTTAGAATTGGAATGGGAATTTAGTATTTTCCTTTGATTCCTATGAATTTCTTCAGTATCCTCTACTTAAGAGAACTTGTCAGATGAGACAATCCATGACTCTGTAACTCTAAAAACTTGTTCTACATCCAGTAATATATATCATTTTTAGAGAAGCGAACTTACAAGTTGATGTTAGATCTGAGGAAAAGACAGTGAATAACAGGAGAGAAAGGTTGACCATAAACATGATTTTTTTTTTCAGAAGTTTCCTGACCCTGGGGGCAGATTCATATGAGAAAGCATTTTCTCCTCCACATTTGCATGAATAACATAATTTTTAAAAACAAATAAGGAGAGGTCAGGCGGGCGGCCTTCTCCTGCTGTCCTCCCAGGGTCAGTGAGAACTCCTACCATCTGACAGGTCACAGATCACACTCATCTGACTCACATTTACCTCTCTGTCTCCTACTACTTTGGCTCAGGTCAAATCTGCTCAAAAAACGCGTGTTGGGTACTTATTCTGTGCCAGTATGTATCTTATTTGCTGTTAATAAAGATGAGTCAAATATGGTCCCTGTCTTTGAACCTCTTACAGTCACAGAGAAAGAAAATAATTTCAATATAATTTGTTAAGAGTTATGACAGAGGTAAGTACATGATGCTGTAGGTACACATGTATCTAGGATAGACTAGATATTTGTGAATGTGTGTACTTACGTGTGTCCATGTCTACGTGTGTTGGGGATGGGTAGGGGTGGGGAAAGGTGAAAATGTGTGAATCAGAAAGGAAGGTGTTCCTGGATAATATTTTTCCTAAATGGAATCTTAAAAAACCTGTAGTTATTAGTGAGATGAAGAAGGCATAGAAATCAGCAATATCCTATAGCTGCCTTTTCATTTAAGTTTACCACTGACTGTAGGCATCACTTAGAACTTTGTGATAAGTGTTTAGTTTTATGCTGTCTTTTTTCATCAAAACTGAGAAAGAATGTTTGCTTACCCTTTAATTTTCCCTGAGATCTGGACACATGTACTAATTTCTACTCTAGGAAATGTGTGAGCTGTGGCAGAGAGGGAAGCAAGTCTAAAGGATCTGAGGTGAAACAGGAGACTGAGAACCAACCAGGTAGTGTCATCCACTAGATGGATAGCAATTGAAAAAGTACCCATCTTAAAATAGCTGGTGTTCTCAAAATTTATTTTTATATCAGCTATCTTGACAATAGATTACATTTCCCTTTAGAAGAAATCGTATATTAGTTTGATTTGAGGAATTGTTAGATCATAAAGACTCGCTTGGCCCGGTGCATACATTCACTAAACCAATATTTGCTGTGAATCTATTGTGTTCCAGGCACCCCACCTGCAATGGAGATGAAATGCAACTGTAGTCAGTACTTCCTTTCTGAGATTCTTTGTCCTCAGGAGCTGGATCTTCTGTCTGTATCCCCATTACCAAGTATGTGCTTGGCCAATAACATTTGCTCAACAAATAAAGTGACTGAATATTCAAAGTGTGATGAATGCTCAAGGAAGCGATGCTAACTCTGTGTAGTGGACATACCTCTGAATAGAGGGACTACGCTCTTAAACACCAGTGGGATATAAAAATGCAGTGTGTCCTAGTTATGTGGAAGGGAAAATGGCTGGAAAGGTGGCCTGTGGTCAGATAAGGGAGCCATAAGCGATCATCAAGCAGAGATATGATTGTTCATATTAATGTTTTATTTATTCATTTTTTATTTCAATGACGAATTGAAATCTTTATCACTTTGACTCACAAACCTATCCAGATGCCTGAGTCCATCATCAGATTACATAGAGTGTAATTCTAACTTTTTGAGAAAGCTGGTAATTCCCATAGCCCAGCAGTTCTTAACTTGGAATTAAGAGAGTTCCTCAATTTAGATGTGAATGCTACTACTTTATCTTTCTTTTACTCGAATTGAAATTTAATTTTTTTTTTGTTTGAATGTAGGTAACCAACCCAAACCAGCCCTGGCAGGATCCATGACTTTATCACGAATAGAAATCAGAAATATTTTTATGTAACATTACAGTGGTTGAAGATAGCTCAAAATATCATTTAAGCTCATCATTTTGAAATTAACATGGTTATTAGACCTGCCACAATATTTTAAAATTTAATGCATTAAAGAAGCACATGTATTATGATATCACATATTCTTTTCTAAGACTATTTTAATAACTATATATTGTATTATATTGGTTTCCTTGGTAATCCTGTACATCCTATTTGATATATTTATTTTTATTTAATATATTTAAAACATTATTTTGAAGCACCATTACCAGACAGATCAAGGATTGATAGCCCAAAGCTTGCATATGGCCTTAAACTTTAGACTTTAAATTTCTTTCCTCTCTTTTAGGAAGAGTTCCATGAAGTTTCATTATTGCTCCCCAATTCTTGGAATTCTTCCTAGGGAATTGGCAGACTTTTAAAACAACTCTACTAGATTATGTGATCAAGTTATTTTTATTTACCTTATTTAATTAATGACAATTTATTGAATAAAGCTGTGTGCCATACAACAAAGAACACAAAAATGAAAAAGACAGGCACAGTTTTCGGAGCAGATTTTAATCTCTGGGAGGAGTAGATGGATAATGCTAGGCTATGAGAGACAATGGGCTGGAGATGGCAGATTAGTGCAGTTTAGTGTGAACACAGAAAACGAGCAGGCTCGCGTCTTAAAATGGAAATGGTGTTGTGATGTTGTGTCTGCTATTGTGGATGGTCATTGACAGTTAAGAGTGATATTTGGGAGCTCCAGCTGTAGCTGGGGATGGGATTGCCAAAGAGATTATGGCACACTCTCCAGAGTTAGCCCTTGGTTTCCTAGCTCTTTTAAAATAGGTTATTTTGTCCAAGAAAAAATGTCAGTTCTGCAAAGTACTTTGGCTCTTTTTGATTTCTTATACCTTAGTGACTGTCTTCTCAGAGAATAGACAAGAGGAATGGTTGAATGTCCAAAGAACTAAAAAAATCAACACTATCATGAGATGGGGGAGGTATGGCAAGAGCAGCATAAGACTCAAGGGTTTTAGTTGATAATAAAGTGAAATTAAATGGCGTGATTTTAAAGATGAATTCAATCTATGTTTTTATTATTAGAAGTGTAATATTCAGAATAAAGAGGATGATTATTTTTATGAACTCTGCGCCTCCCAGAGGACACTAAAAATGAATTCCCCATCTTATAAAGTATTAAGTTTCACGATACTGAAAACATACCAACCAAAGCAGCCTGATCATCTTCTAAAAACCTTATAACGAGGATTCTTCAAAGGGTTGATAGTGATGAGAGGCAATTCCTAAGCGCTTCAACTCTGAATTGTATAATTTTATACTTTATACACACCTATGTTTAGCGTGCGATGACTTCATACTGAAAAAAGAGAAAACTATGACACAGACAAATGAGACACAGGTGACAGAATTCCTCCTTCTGGGACTCTCTGATGACCCACACACCCAGCAGCTGCTATTCATCTTATTCCTGGGTGTCTACCTGGTCACTGTGCTTGGGAATCTGCTTCTCATGTCCCTTGTTCAGGTCGACTCCCAGCTTCACACACCCATGTATTTTTTTCTCTTCAACTTATCTCTGGCTGACCTCTGTTTCTCTACCAATATCATTCCTCAGACCCTAGCCCACTTGCTATCCAGGAAGAAGCTCATTTCATTCACACGTTGTGCAGCTCAGCTTCTACTCTTCCTCATTTTTGGGTGTACACAGTGTGCCCTTCTGGCAGTGATGTCTTATGATCGGTATGTAGCCATCTGCAACCCTTTGCATTACCCTAGCATCATGACGTGGAGAGTGTGTGCCCGGCTGGCTGCAGGATCATGGACAAGTGGCATTGTTGTGTCTGTGGTGGACACCACATTCATACTAAGGCTACCTTACCGAGGCAGCAATAGTATTGCTCATTTCTTTTGTGAGGCCCCTGCACTGTTGATCCTGGCATCCACAGACACCCGCACTTCAGAGATGGTCATTTTCCTCATGGGTGTCATGATTCTCCTCATACCTGTTTCTCTAATTCTGATCTCCTATGGCCGCATCATAGAGACTGTGGTCAGGATGAAGGCAGCTGAGGGAAGGCTCAAGGCGTTCTCTACCTGTGGCGCCCACCTCATGGTCGTTATTCTTTTTTATGGGTCAGGAATTGTCACCTACATGACACCAAAGTCTTCCAAAGAACAGGAAAAACTGGTGTCTGTGTTCTATGCAATGGTGACCCCCATGCTCAATCCCCTCATCTACAGCCTGAGGAACAAGGATGTGAAGGGATCTCTGAGGAAAGCAGCCACAAGGAATTTCCCACGCAGACTTGGGATTTTCCGCTGACAACGACACCCTCTGTGCTCCCTACTTGTAAGACTTGCTGAGTAGTTCCCTGAGCAAGACAAATACAGTACGATTCTTATCCTTGGGCCTGGCTGTGGATCCGCCCTCCATCCCTCATCCAGCGGTTCCTTTGTAGAAGAAGGAGGACAATAATTCATGGACCATGGTCTTTCAGCACTTAAGAATTAGGAAAACCCCTGAGAAACATTCATATTTTATAAACTCTGGAAATGGTAAAATCTGTCTTTTTTATCATGCTATGTATTACTATCCTACTCTAACTTCTTTGTCTTTGGGTATTTATAGATCTTTTTATGAAGATTTTTTATAAAGATTTTTAATAAAGATTTATAAATCTTTTTGCATCCTCAAATAATCAATAAATTAAACACTTAATCACTTCCTGTTAGCTAGGTGCTATATGTATGTGTACATGAACATTTCCTGCATGTGTATTTGAGGTGGGTTGTAAAAAGCACGTGTATGAGGGGGCACAATATGTGAGCTCTGCTGTCCTTCTCACACCCTTATTAGAGACAGGAGTACTGTATCTAGCAGGTAAGGGTGAAGACAGAGTTTTGGAGTAAAGATTTTCCTCTGAGCTAACATCCACTGCCAATCTTCCTCTTTTTGTATGTGAGCCACCACCACAGCATGGGTGCTGACAGATGAGTGCTGTGGTCGCTTGCCCTGGAACTGAACCCAGGCACTGAAGTGAAGTGCGCTGAACTTTAATCACTAGGCCATCAGGGCTGGCTGAAGAGAGGGGTCTTGATGCACAATGAAAGGTAGTGAGATGAGCCAGGTTATGTTTTCTGCAAAAAAAAAAGGGTGGGATGGAAAAAATCAAGGAAAATGACCCAAGAGTTACCAGTGATCCCTGAAGAGGGTCAGAGGAGGCTTCACTGAGAAGACGATGTTTGATTAAGGTACTAAGCAGGTTCAAGAGGTGAAGTCAGGGTGGTGAAAGAATGAGGGTAGTAAAGAGGTAAATCAGTGAGAACATGCTGTTTTTAAAATGCTGATTTCTATTCTTTTTTCAAAACTCAACCTGGGCATCACTTCTTCTATGAAAACTTCTTTGATACCTCATTTTCATAGTAAAAATTAACATTTATTGAGCACCAAATAAGTGCCAGACACTATTCTAAGTGTGTTGCGTGCATTATATTAAGTCTCACAACAACCTGAAGGTAAAGGGACTATTATTAGGCTCACTCTATAGCCACAGAAGCACAGAGAAGTTGAATAATTTTTCTAAGGTGAGGCAGCCAGCAAGTGTTGTGTGTCTGTGTGTTTTACAAGTGGTACATTAGGTTTTATCTTCCAGTGTATGTTTAATTTAAATTTTTTGCTATGTTCTGAGAAGACATTTTTAAAGCTTTACTCTATTATAACAGCTTTGTATCACTCAGTGTGCCATAGATGTGCACTCTTCCTAAATATTTAATCAAAACTTTTCCTAGGACAGATCCACAACTCTGGGGCACATCTCTTAAGCCCCCACAGGTCCACACACACCATCAACACAGTCCTGCTCCATGCACACTTCCTGACCCCTTGGAGTATACCCCGACACTCCACTGCAAAGGCCCCCACCTCTCCACCAATGATCCCCACACTTCAACTGGTCTTCACACAGGCCCTGCCCCACCGAGGCAGACACACTTGCCTGCCTATAGAGGATCAAGGCACCCAGTCAATGCAGGCCAACAAGTAGCCTGAGGGTTTGCTGTTGGGTGGAGCCAGTCCCTAGAGCAGGCTGCCTGCCCTACCAGAAGTGGATTAAATCTGCACTCTAGTGGGTGTGGCAGACCCCTAGGCTATCAGGCTAGGTGAAGAACTTCAATGGCATCTGCCAGCATCTGTGTCACCATGCCAGGACTAGGTCACAACAAGGGCCATCACCAAAGTCCCAGTCTCTGGAAAGGTCTCATCTCTCAGCAAGATGCACCCAAAGCCTACCAGGTGAGTCTGTTTTCACCAAAGAACCATGTAACTGTCTTTTTGGTGATTTTAGGTTGTTCTCTAAGATGGGTGAATTTGTGCATGGGCCCTTTAAGACCTGGGTGTTTTTCAGCTTTCATCCCATAGCTCTTCTGTGGATATTCCCCACTGCAGTTAATAGCCAGTGAAGCCAGATAGTAAGACCCTCATCTCAGTTGTGCTGAGTCTGAAGGATGCTTATAGCAGTAACGGCCCACTCAGGAACTGATTCCTCTAGGAGGGGCTGCGTACCTTAGGGTGGCTCCTGCTCTGCTGGCTGTGGAACTCCACTGCTCGTGAAGGTGGCTTTTTTTCTCTCCAGAAGTAATTTCTGGCTCTTCTGCCTCAGTCAGGACTGTCCCTTGTTGTGGGGGTTCTTTTTATCCAGTTTTCAGCTTTCTATCCAGGCAAATTTTTCCAAAAATAGTTGTAACCTGGTTGTGCTCATGGGAGGAGGTGAGTTCAGGGTCTGCCTATGCTGCCATCTTGACCTACATCTTCTGTTTTAATAAAGACATATCTAGTATTTCCCCCTTTGGTATGTGTATTTGGTTTTAAATAGACAAAGATTCCACATGCCCCTATCTGCAGCTCCAAAATCCAAGCAGCTTTGGAAATTGAGCACTTTTTCCTAAGTTTGGGGCCTAAACTCATTGGATGACAGAATCTGTTAGGAACTGATATGAGATTATTTATAGTCTTTACTTGTTCCACATTGTAAAAATGATCATGTTTTGCTGTAGAGATGTTAATGTGTTAGATTATAGGCTGCTGCTTCAGAACTCTCTGGAAGTGTTAGGAAACATATGGTGTATGCAGCATATTACCTTTCTAAAACTTGAAAAGTCCAAGTGCATCATTTGTGTTGGATAAAAGAATTTGGACCTGTATTTTTTATGTTGAGGATGTATCCCTTCTGTCCTCATGGGTGTTGAAATTATCAAATGGATTCAACAGTGCATATATCGAAATGATTATGGCTCATTTTATTTAGCCTATTGATATAGTCTGATATCTGTTGGCTGATAATAATCACCAAAAGCAAACTGACATCAACCTCAAATCTAAACTTTTGCAAACATTTCTCATTTAGATAATACTACCATATCTACCAAATGAATGCTAATTCAAGCAGCTACTGGCTTTGATAACTTTTCAACTAACAGGACAGCATCTCAATAGTGTTTACGTATATATGTATTTTTAATTTATTCAAAATAGGGTTTACTACAATGTTTACATGATTTTACTCAAAATTAGGTTTTTATTTGAAGGGCATTTGCAGACATTCTTTTATGCTCTACCTCTCCTCATTGCTGCATCATTTTCTTCTGGCTTGGTCACTTCTTTATGACTTCCTCAGTATCTTTTCCTTTCCTGGAGCACTGAGTTTTGTTCCTAATATGGAATCAGTGAGGCTTATGAACAGCACACTGATCCAGACAATGATAACTGCCCAAACATACTCACTTTGTTTTCATTATTTAAATTTTGAGAAATATTTCCTCCCAATTACTTATGAGAACCCCTCCTAAGCTCAGAGTCTCAAAAACCCCTCTCTCATATCTCCAGTATTCCCACAAATAATTCCTCTCCAGTCTCAACAGGCTCAGATTCAACAAATATTCTTGAACACTAGATAACATTTATTGAGAAATGCTGTGTTCCAAGTGTTGTTCTAATTTTCCATCCATATACTCATTTAGTCTTCACAACTGTGTGAGACAGATATTAGAATTATTCCCATTCTACAGATAAGAAAATGAAGGCACAGAGAGGTTAAATAATTTTCCCAAGGTCACATAGTTGAACACAAGCAATGTGACTGTGGATCCCACATTATTAACCTCTGCTCACATTACTTACTATAGACTGAGTACTGTGCCAAACTTTGTCTTATTTAATCCTCAAAACACCTGTTATATGTGTTATTATTATTTTATGGAAAATGAAGTGACATATAACCAAACCCTAGATTAAACAAAACTTCAATTACAAACATGGAGCTAAAACCCAGAAACCCTAACTCTCAATTCAGTGCTCCTTCTGAGACATAACGGAATTAAAGGATGTTACCCATATGGGTTCAGGAGATAAAGGAAGAAGTAGTCTAGCATTGTTGAAATAGAGTCATCTCCTGAACCCCTATCATGTTCCAAACGCTCTATATAACTCATGATGTTTACTGCTCTCCACAACTCTGTGAAGTATAATAATCCAATTCTATAGCTTCTAGATAGATTCTATGGCTCCAAGAGGTGAAGTATATTGCCCAAGATTACTTGACTGAGTTAGGATATAAACCCAGATTGGCCTGGCCCAAACCTGAGGCTTTAATTTCAGCAGGAATGTAGCATGATAGAAAGAAGTGGAGACTGACAAGGAAGGAGAAGGGCAAGGGAGAAATTATGATATTGTAGGGGTATTGTGACACCCTCTCCGTCATGTAACTTTCCTGAAAAACTTCTATTTCCTAAGTGTTGCAAACAAACCTCCCTGTCCTCTGCCCCAGTCTTTTTCTTTCCTCTTATATCTCTTTTGGTCTCTTGGGCTCCACTTCAGAGCCATCCCAAAGCATCAGAAAGAGGAGGGGGAAATGGGGACCATGTGAGACAGGTGCAAGATAAAAGAATCTTTCCTGGTTTGGCAGGGTTCTCTGATATGGGAAGAAGAGAAGGTGGAGTCTCTGTCACATTTTTCTTTGTGCTGATGCTTCAACATTCTTTTATATACACTCACTAAGTCTTTTCCTAACCAACACAGTCATCTTAGGAGGACCCTGAGTCAAAGTCATCTGAATAAAGTGAGTGGATTCTGTTATCTGCTGTGTTCTTCTTCAAGTGGTCAATTTTCTCATGGTTTTCTTCCTGTCCAAAACAGTCATCTTCCTATTCCTCTCTACACCTGATAAAACCCAAATTCCTATCAATATTTCCAACATCTGATCCATTCTATTCATACTTACACCAATATCACTTTCTTCATCTTTTCCACTCATAGCTGATCTCTTTACTTATTCGTACTCTGCCTGCACTCCCTAAGGCTTTTATGATTTTCCATTCCTAATCTATCCTTTCTCTATTATAGGTATATTCACCTAATCTCCTCTCATTGGAACTGTATAGCAAATTTATCCTGCCTAATACCATCCATTTTATCCACAGAAGGTTCAATCTCTCCACACTTAATCTAACTTCCTCGTGTTTTATCTGGTCCCCGTGGATCTTATTCACTGTTATACATTTTATGTCTGTTTTCCTTCATATTGTTCCCTATTTAGTACATATTATTTCAAAATTTCTGGTAATCCACTTAAATTTTCTACCCCTGACCATTTCCACCCAAGTCCTTTTTACATTCAGTCTTCTTTATATTTCATTCCAGTAACCTGCAATTCATCTCTTCTGCCCATATCA